ATAGGGAATTTTTCGTCAACATTAACAACGAGGAGTCGACCAGAAGAAAGATCCTTTCTGGGGTGCCCCAGGAAAGCGTCCTCCAACTCTATTTCTTATATACACAGCGGATTTTCCTTTATACTCCGGAACAAGCGTGTCGACATTTGCTGACGATACATGTATCATTGCCTCCAATAAAGATCCCGCAATAGCTTCGCAACTATTACAAGAACATTTAGATATTGCTACAAAATGGCTTTCTTTATGGAGAATTATGACAAACGGCTCAAAATCTACGCATATCACTTTCACGCTGCGTACTGGTATGTGCCCTACAATTAAGTTAAATGGACAGGAAATCCCAGTAAAAGATAGCGTAAAATATCTCGGAATACACCTAGACACAAAATTGAACTGGAGAGTTCACATTAACAAGAAAAAACAGCAGATTGATGAACTATTCAAAAAACATTACTGGCTACTAAATAAACGTTCCAAACTATCGACGAATAACAAGTTGATTATTTATAAATGTATTTTTAAACCAGTGTGGTCTTATGGGATTCAACTATGGGGCACCGCCAAAAAAACCAATCTACAGATTATGCAGCGAGTGCAGAACAAGATCATAAGGCAGGCACTGAATGCACCTAGGTACGTTCCCAACTGGCTGATTCACCAGGACAGCAACATAATGACAGTAAATGAAGAAATTCAACAAAAAACAAACAACTACAAAAAAAGAATAGACGAGCACCCAAATTACTTGTCCAACAAAGTATATTCTGAAGCGCGCCCAACAAGACTAAAACGAAAAATTCCAAACGATCTTATAAATTTGTAAATTATTATTATTATTATTATTATTATTGTTATTATTATTGTTATTATTATTATTATTATTGTTATTATTATTATTATTATTATTACTATTATTATTTTTATTATTATTATTATTATTATTATTATTATTAATATTATCTTACTATTTCTATTATTGTTATTTTGTTATATTTTATTATTTTTCTAGTATTATTTTATTATTCTGAAATTTTATTTATATTATTTATTAATCTTATTTTTATTATTATTTGCTTATATTTTACATTAAATCATATTACGGATATTATTTTTATGTAAATTTTATCCTTTGCTCTTTTATTTATTTAAATTTACATTATTATTTATCAATATTACTTGATGTTAATAAATTAGCAGTTGTAATAATTATTGAAATTAAAAAAAAAAAAAAAAAAAAACTTTGGAAATATGTTTTGTTTTTTTTTTTAAATAAAAAATTTGAAAACATGAAATCATTTTTTTTACAAAACCTGCCTTCCCCAAAAACTAATAATTTCTTCCCATCGCCAACAAAAGCAAAATGTTAATTTGTTTATTCTCATCATCCGATTAGAATAATTCGCTTACTCAAAACGGCATGATCATTTTTTGCACCCTCTCCTCCAACAAACTCGTATTAAAATGACAGCGCAACCGCGAGTCGTACCTGTTCTAGAGACAAAATATCAATACGCGATAGCGCGCGTAGCATTACAATGATATAATATTTTTATTCATTATTAAAATATATATAAAATATCTGATACTCTGATGTGCATATGTCTAATGTTCATTGACCGCCAAATGGCTCATTTTTTTACTTTTTCCTTCATATCTCCGAAGTCGTTGCACCTGCCTTTTCAAAAATTTAAACAGTTCTTCATTTGGTCAATATAAATAAAATGTTTTTTGAATTATTCAATTCGGACGCTCCGTTCTCTAAAAAAAACTGAGTTACCGTTTTTGGCACTTTTTGCCCCATATCTTTGGAACGGCTAATCAGCAAGTCTCCTTATCAATACACATCTAATGTTTTTTGAATTATTCAAATCGCTTCATCCGTGTTCCCGTAATCGTCGACAAAAATTTGTATCCGAACACACACACATACACGCACATACACACACACGCGCATACATCCATTTTTTCTAAGGTATGCCAAAATGTTCAGAAGGTTTTGAAACGTAAAGATATATAAAAATTTTCATTTTCGATTTTTTTGCGATTACTATAACTTGCCCTACGGGAAGTTAAAAACATGACTTTTGGCAGTCATAAAAGATCATTGGACATATGCAATCAAATTTTCAGATATTTTATGGAGATTTTATTAATACGTATAAATTCTGTTTACATTTCCATAGGTTGCGTAAAATATTTTATCCGTTAGACTGCGATGCGGCGCTTACGCGTTTCGATATTTCGTCTCAGTGCAGCTAAAGCAGTGCGATTGCTTTGAAAAAAGTTCAAAATTCCCAAAATATTTCAAAATATAAAAAAAATCTTTTTTTCTAAAATAGTAATTGTTTTCTATAATCAAATAGTAATCTAATTTTTTCAAAGTTCAAAAAAAAAATTCAATTTAAAAAAAAAAAAAAAAAAAAATTGATACGGCTGATACGGTTCCAGCAATTTGCCTTAAGACACGATGTCATTCACCACTAGCTATCTTTTTTGATCGAATTTCCAAAACCGCTCGATCTGTATTTCCAAAAATTCAACTTGATTTTCATTGTGTCAATATAAGTAATATGTTTTTTGAATCATGCAAATCGGACACTCCGTTCTCTCAAAACTGCCATTTATGACACTTTTTACACCGTATTTTCAAAACGGATAGACGTGTCTTCGCCAGAAACCAATTAGCAAGTCTCCGCATCAATAGCAATCGAATGTATTTTGAATCATTTAAATCGTTCCCTGAAAATTACCATTCTTATCACCTTTTACACCTTATCTTCGAAACGGCATCAATAGCAATCGAATGTTTTTTCAATCGTACAAATCGGTTGATCCGTGCTCGCATAAGCGTTGACGTAAAATTGTATCTAAACATACATATATACATACTAAATATACAAACAATATATATATATATATTTTCTAAGGTATGCCAAAATGTTCAGAAGGCTTTGAAACGTAAAGATAAAACAAAATTTACTTACGATTTTATGCGATTGCTATAACTTACCCTACGGTAAGTTAATTAATAAAATTAATTTATTTTTATTGCATTTGAATTTAGTTTAATTTTGGAGAAATTTGTTCTAATTCAAGATAGTTCAAACTACCAAACCTCGTAATTTCTAGTCATTATGAGGCAATTAAGATCAAATTTGGAAAAAGTATGTGAGCAGTTTTTTTAACTTTGCCCGACGTTTTCTCAAAAACGGCTGGACCGATTTCAACAATTTAAAAGTCATTCGATGCAACGCGCGATTATCGGCCGAACCGTTTCTTTGTAATTGAGAGAAAAATGTAAACCTTTCCATCCACGTTTTGGCTCACAATTATGAATCGATTTTGAAAATTTAAATACAATTTCAAATATATTGGTTGGGAATCGCTTTGATTAGTTTTTGCTAAAGATCGAGCGGGCCGTTTCTGCGTAATTATATGATGACAAAAAATGTTGAAAGTTGGATAAAATTTTGTATAACGATAGATTTGGTTGTCTAAAATAACATACAAAAACATTATAGGCCTGCGATAAGCAGTTAAATTATTTAATCTAATCTAATCACAATCTGTGCCGAAGTATAAGTACGTTGTTTAGTGTTTCGTAGGCAGCTACTGATTACAGTAGATCCATTCTTATATAAGATACATTTTCAAAAACAATATGGGTAAAATGAAATATTTTAAAGAAATTGATTTATTTTATTCAAATGCTGATATTGAAGATCGTATGAATTATTGTTTAGTGAAAGGCAAAATTTTATTTTTGTTATGAATTGTGAATAATTTATCTAAATATCCGAAATTCAATTCTTATTGATTAACTTGCTTTTAGGTAAAATGCTTCAACTAGTTTTGTTTATTTATAACAAAATTGCCATCTTTCAAAATTAAGTTTCATTTCTCATATCGCAAATTATAAATATTTATTTTTATTCATTCCGGTTTTATTTTTGTTTATTTACCTTTGGCTTCTTTAACTTTATCATCACTCTTTGTTTCATCTTTACCTAATATTGTTTTTATAAAACTTATTTCTGATGAGCATCTATTAATGCTGTAGATTTTTCTCTCATTCTGCTATTTGTATTAGTTCTTTTTTGTACTACCTCTGCCATTTGGTACCATTATACCAAAGTGGTCTAATTTCGATGGCAAAAAAGTTGTTTGTAACTTGCAACAACTCGGAGCCGATTCGTTTACAATTTCGATTTGATTTATAATTTCCGTAGTTCAGGGAAAAGACAATTATATACATCAAAACATAAGGCATATTGTAAAGTATTACAACTGGCCCCATTTTTGTTACGACTAACCCTATTCATGAGTCAAAATGACTAGGTCCGCAAATCTAGTGTTAAATAATATTAATTGTGTTATATGATTGTGCTAAAACTCAACGCGTTGTGCGACTATATAATCTAGCCTAGATAAATATTCCTTCTTTAGATGGTAGATCCAAATTTTTTACAAAACAATAAAAAAAATGTGTGCAAAGAATTAGGAATCAGTTCCACACATGTGTAAAATCTTGGTAAAAATATTTTTTTAAATCATTTCTCAATTTCAATCAGTTCACAGATGACCAATATATTGCACATTTTCTATTCGTGATTTTTTTAATTAGTACTTTGTGAATCATGGTATTAATTACATGCTTACGGTTTATATGCGTACGGTTTATACCTGATACCATGGATTAATAAATTTTCTGTTTTAACACTAAGAATAACTAATTGTAAGTATTTTTTACTCTATAATTTTTCCCACTTCAATTGTTTTAGTTTTTAAATTTTATTTTTAGTTTTCACTGCTTGCTAGGATCATAACCTAGATAAGATTCAATACATATTGTTAATTACTTTTTTCATTAATATTTAATTGTATAATATAATTCTACTTGTATAAGTAAAGTAAATAACAAATATATAAAATCAGCAAAACATTTTGTAAATAATCGTTTTTTACATAACAATCATATCAAAAGCTTATTTAATTACCTTGGAAAGCTGCCTCAAAAAACTGTGGCGGTTCAGCAGGTAATGCTTTAATCCACTCCGCAACAAAAACAAGACACATGATCACTATATATATCTGTATATTCGACATGGTCAACAATAATAATAAGACACTATTTCTAGCTACAGTACTAATTACTTATAACTGTTAGACAGGACTATAACAAACATGAGCCAAAATCACTGAACAATATATTGGCCAAAGCTCACATTTATTAGCAAGATAAATTTATTTAAGCGGCACTTGATATCATAATTAGATATGCACGATCTTGTCTATAAGTAACCTCAACTAAACAGTAAAGCACACTTTTTAAGTCAGAAGCAAAATTTGCTCGAAAAATAATCATGGCCGACAGCCGCGATTCGGACTTGCACGAACTGAAATTCAATGTGTGTACGGAGTCATTGCGCATGATCTGGCAGGATCGACAATTCATCGAACACTGTGCTTTGTTGATAGTAACCTCTTGAAGCTAAGGACAATTATATACACACACCTAACATATTGCTAATACAAGGCGATTTAATAAGCGTGGCGCAGATTTTTCTTGCCTTACCTTAAACATTCGAGGAATGAAAATAATCAATAATTGCTTTGATTAATGCCAAACAGATTATTTATTATAAATACATACTGTAAACTTACATCTGCTTTTTAAATTGGGCGACGAACGTATTCCACAAACTACTTTGTGTATGTTTATAAGAAACTTATTAACTCTTTTTTAAATTTGATTTTTTTGATAATTTAGATTTTTTTAAATTTTTTTAAATTTTGATTTTTTTTTGAAAATATTTGATTTTTTTGAAAATTTCGAAATATTCTCAAATTTTTATAAAAATCGTTTTTTAACTTCTCCAAAGAGAAGTTTATGTTTTCATAAAAAATCCAATTCGCTAATTTTATGTTTTCTCGACGTTTCAAGCCATTCTGAATCGAATGAGACCAAATTTGGAAAAAGTATGTGTGTGTGTGAACAGATTTTTTGTCGTAGATCGACGTTTTTTCAAAAGTGGCCGGACCGATTTCAAAAATTTAAAAGCGATTCGATGTATCTTGATGAAGACTATTGTTTGTCAGTTTTGTGCGACGATCGGCCAAGCTGTTTCTTTATAAAAAGCAGAAAACTGAGAAAATTTTTGACCACGTTTTAGCACGCAATTCTGAATTGATTTCGAAGATTCAAAAACCGTTCGAAAGATATTGGTTGGGAATCGTGCTGATTAGTATTTAGTAAAGATCGGCCGGGCCGTTTTCTTGTAATAAAGTTTAAAAAAATCGACGATTTTTATGATTTTTTTTGACGGAAGATACCATAGTCTTGTAGATCAATTAGACCTTTGATCGACGTTTTCTCGAAAACGCCTGAACAGATTTCAGAAATTTAAAAGCCATTTGATGTATCTCAATGAGGACTATCGTTTGTCAGTTTTGTGAGAAATCAAAAACTGTTCAAAAGATATTAGTTGGGAATGATACTGATTAGTTTTAGGTGTAAATCTACCGAGCCGTTTTTTTGTAATTAACTGTTGAAAAAAAAATTAAGCCGATTTTGATGGAACTTTTTTTGATGATATATATATTATGAAATATTACGGCCTTACGACAAGTAGTTTAATTTTAAAAATTCATCCAAGTTTGAAAAAATGTGTAGTTTTTTTGACGTTTGTTAAAATTAAAATTAGGGCGAAACTACCGCCTTATCAGCCGTATCAAAAATACGGGGCCCCCGGGCCAGGGGGGCCCCAACGAGCACAATCAGAAAGCAAACATTTTTTTTTAAATTGAATAATTTTAACGTAGTTTGCATTTTCTTTTGTTATCGAGAAGTATTAAATTTGAACATGTAAGCTAACGCTTTAAGAGAATTTATTTCTGCTGCAATATTTTTGCAAGCTCTAGCAATCAATTCAATTTGTGAAGCTTTTGCTCATCCGATAAGTTAATATTCTTGCACAAATATGAACAAATCTGTAAAACTAATCCAGTTTATAAATTCTTGATAGAAAATTGGGATTTGGAATTTTTATAAATATATTTATAACATTTTAATAGATATATTTTGAAAAAATATGATCAACAAAATCATTTTTAGATTTCTTTCTTCACTGTTTCAAATTATTAGTTTCATTTCTGAAACTCTACAACATGCCAGTAATGACTTACAAAAAACTAGTATTTCATTAAGTAATGATTTGAGAATTAAGATATAAAAATTTATTGAATTGGTTTGTTAAATAGGTCCAAATAATTTGCAAAAAAGATGGATTGCAATAACTATTTTAATAAACAAAAGACAAAAGATAATAAAGCGTTATTATGATGAGTTATCACAAGATGAGGGAATTTTAGACCCGAAATTATATTTTAATATATACTATTGCTGTTTGTATATATCAATTTCACAAATCAAACAAAGACTTCCAAACCTTTGCGACTTAAGTAGTAAGTAACATTTGCCTTTTTGAAATCGAGAATTAATAAACATTTCCGAAAAACTGTCGACTGAATTACTGTAAAGAGATACTGTTAAGGTATCTCATATGATCATGACCAATTGATGGTTCAAGAAATAGATTTGATTTACAAAAATCTAAGAAATTTATTTTATTAAGATACAATGATGAATGCAATAGGCTTGCATCAGTTTGCATAGCTTTGGCCCTTGCAGTTACAATAGCAACTGCTTTAAAATGATATTTTTAAAATTAAAACTGATTAATAATTACGTAAAAATTTTAGGACAGAAACGTCTACCAGACATGTATGTTTCTAGAGACAGAAACCATATAAAATTTAAAGTCACTAAATAATTCAGTTTTTCAAAAAAAGCAAGGAGAGTGAATAAATATCTGGAATCATTTGTAAAAAGTTCAGAAAATTAGAGAGAATTAGATATATAAATAATTAAAATGATAAAAAAATATTCTTTTAATTTTATGTATTTTTATATTTTATAAAAAAAATTTCTTCATGAGGGGCCCCCCAAACAAATTTTGATACAGGGCGTGTGAATGTGTTCAACCGACTTGAATCATTAAAAAAACATTCAATTTGTATTGATAAGGAGACGTGCTAAATAGTTTTTGGCGTGGGCTAGCCCTTTCGAAAGGTATCGATACGGGGCAAAAAGTGCCAAAAACGGTAACTCAGTTTTTAAGAGAAAGGCACATCCGATTTTAATAATTCAAAAAATAGTTTACTTGTATTGACAAGATGAAGAACTGATTAAATTTTTGGTAAGGCAGGTCCAGCGGTTATAGACTCTCAATAAAAATAAGTTAAAAAATGCCATTTGGTGGTCAAAAATGTTTATTGGACATATGCACATGAAATTATCAGATATTTCATATAGATTTTAATAATATGTTTCAATTTTGTTTACATTTCTATGGGTTCTTCAATAATTCATCTCTATGCAGCAAAATGAGAAGTGCGTTTGCTTTGAAGAAGAGTTCAAAATTTCCAGAATATTTCAAAATGAAAAAAAAAAATTTTTCAAAAGTTTTTTCCAAAAAGTTAATTTTTTTCAAAAATATAAAACGTCTCAGAAATCTATTTTTTTTTTCAAAGTTAAAAAAAAATTATCTCATTTAAAAATAATAATTTTTGGTACGGGAAGTTCCAGCAATCTGCCTTGAGGCACGATGCCATACACCAATAGTTATATGCATTCTATATATATGGGAACTATGGGCTATATGTAACGGGGATAACTAATAACAGGGGTTTTGATAAGATATTAACTTTTTTTATATTGATTAGACATGTAAACCGCCCTGCATAATATTGTCATATATGACTATAGCTACTGACCCGCAAGCCGACGCAGTAAACAGAAGTGTGCAGGTTCGTCATTTTACACAGGTAAAATAAAATTGTTTTCTTTATTATTATCAACTTACTTTAAATTTTATATATCTATCTTATTAACTTCCCGGAGGAGAAGTTTATGTTTTCATCAAAAAATCCGATTCGCTAATTTTATGTTTTCTCGACGTTTCAAGCCATTCTAAATCGAATGGAACCAAATTTGGAAAAAGTATGTGTGTGTGTATGTGAACAGATTTTTTGCCGTAAATCGACGTTTTCTCAAAAACGGCTAGACCGATTTCAAAAATTTAAAAGCCATTCGATGTATCTCTATGAGGGCTAGCGTTTATCAATTTTGCGCGACGATCAGCCAAGCCGTTATAAAAACAATAATAAAAAAAGAACAGAGCTTCAATATTTCTCCAAAAAAGTTTATCAATTTGATAATTTCTATTTTAAACAAGATATAATAATAAAATATCAATGTTGCGCCCTTGAATAATAAGTTTGATTAGAAAACGAACAACGTTCTATTTCATAGAAAATTATCAGCCAATTTATAAAAACAGATCGGGATTAATCTTTAAGATAAATTGCCAATTTTTCGGGTTTAAAATTTTGACATTCTGAAAAATTTGCCGCCGCTCAAATTGTGCCGCCCTAAACCCGGGCTTCACGGGCCTATGGGTTATTTTAGCACTGATTATTTCCTTGTATACAATTTTTTAACTTCCCGTAGAGTAGTTATAGTAATGGGACAAAAATCGAAAATGAAAATTTTTGCATTTCTCGACGTTTTGAAGGTTTCTGAACATTTTGCTATACCTCAGGCAGCAAAGGGTATGGGCGCATTGCCATACAGAATCGGCTCCACCCTGGTATTTAAATAATTTATACGCCATTTTATAGGTCTAAATGATAAAAACAGATATACCAATTTTCAACTTTGTGCCTCATCTTATGGCCGAGATATCATTGAAAATATGTCAAAGTGGCCCCTTCTTTCAAACTCACTTTTTCGCGTAACCATAAAAGATATCGAAAATATTTTTAAGTGATTCTATTCACATTGACTCAGACCTCATTATGTAGAGCAATCGATGCCAAAAAATTGTTTATTATTAGCTGAAAAAGACAAAATAATTTTTCAATTGGTGTTTTCGTGCAGTGCGTTTCGTTTAGTTGGGCCACTTTCTAATTAGCGTTATACGTTAAATTAGTACGTTATAAAGCCTAATGTTTTTTCTTTAAGTACTGCAAATATTGTCCAAATCAATTTGGTGGAACACCTTGGAAAATTGAAATTACCGGAGTCGGTACACCCGCGCGTAACGCTAATAGTACCCTGCAATTGCATAAGAGTTCGTTCGAACGCAAAGCAGTGCGCGATGCGCCCGAAACGATTCTTAAGAAATTCTGAATACGAAATTATTTATTTTATAGTTATATGTATGCATATTAAGTAATATTATAATGAAACATTGTAGTTTCAACAAATCCAAGAAACTTTTTTTTTAATGATAGTTGAGAAGCAAAACCATCGTCAATTGATTATATAATGGGAAATTTGCCTAGTAGTAGAGTTAATCAAGATTTTCCAATTAACAATGTCGGCCTTGATTATGCTGGACCGTTTATTATCAAAGATCGAATAACAGGCAGTGCCAAATTTATTAAGGTTTATATTTGTATATTTATTTGCATGTGCACCAAGGCTATTTATTTGGATCTGGTTTGCGATTTATTGACAGAATCTTTTTTACAAACATTAAAACGATTCATTGCTAGTAATATATTAACTTCCCGTAGGGCAAGTTATTGTAATCGTCCAAAAATCGAAATTGAAAATTTTTATATTTCTCGACGTTTTGAAGATTTCTGAACATTTTGACATACCTCAGAAAAAATGGATGTGTGTGTGTGTATGTATGTATGGATACAATTTTTCGTCCACGTTTTCGGGCGCACGGATCAACCGATTCGAATGGTTCAAAAAACATTCGATTCCTATTGATAGAGAGATGTGCTAATTAGTTTTTGGAAAAGGCAGGTCCAGCCGTTTCTGAGATATGGAGCAAAGAGTGCAGAAAATAATAATTGAGTTTTTGAGAGATTGGAGCATCCGATTTGAATGATCCAAAAAACATTCAATTCGTATTGACAGGGAGAAGTGGTGATTAGTTCTTGGCAAAGGCAGGTCCAGCGGTTTCGGAGACACAGAGCTAAATGTGCAAAAAATGGCAGTTTTTGAGAGAACTAAGCGTCTGATTTTAATGATTCAGAGAACTTTCTGCTTGTTTTAACAAAATAATTGATTTAAAAAAAATAATTTTTGTTCAAAATTTTTTTTTCAATTTTTTTTTTCAATTTTTTTTGTGATTATGCAGCGGTATTAGCTCACTTTTTATGTATTTTTTAATTGCTATAAACACTCTCTCACCCCTCTCACTTCTATATATGTTGAATGTATTATCAATAATTTCTCCGACTGCGATACAAGATTTAAGCCAAGATTTGGTAACACATAAAATATCATATAAACTGCTCGAAGTTGTTGTAAGAAATGTAGTTAACTTTGTTCTGGGTCCTCTGAGTTTTGGTAGTATACCGATAAATGCCTATTGTGTTTTTGTTCAATTTGTCTACGAAATGTGTGTACCTTGTACATTTAAATTCTTACTTTCATCACTTACTTATAATTTATCTTTGACAATCTTGTATATAATGCTATAGAACTTTAATATAGCTATAGTCAATAAATTTGATATATTTTTTATGTTGGGAGTTTCTAATTTAATATATTGTCATAATCATTACGACTCCCACATTGGTGACTCACGACGATGGAGATGAAGATAAAGGAGTTTTATTTTTCGAGGATTTAAGAAAAATTGAATTTGACGCAGCACCATAGTCACCGGTCTTCAGAGACGACCTATAAGGTTGTGAACTTACGACTTACGAATCATTACGACTCCCACATAGCTATAAACGAATATAAGAAAAAAAATTCTGATCTCCAAATGTTACTTACATTTTGGTACAAAAAATTTGAATGTAGCACTATAATTTAGCCCATTTGTGAATCACCTTGTGCCATAATTGTAAAAAAGTTATTAGCATGTTGCATTACATTTTTCAACTAAGCCCTCTTTCTAATTATCTTCAATCAAATATTACAAATATTTAAATATCAAAAACAAAGAATTGTAAAAAACATAGTTCTTTATTTAAGCCACATCGTTCGAATATAATATATGCTATTACAATTTTTGCAAATTCAAAACTTCACTCATTTTTATATATATATATATATATATATATATATATATATATATATATATATATATATATATATACATACATATCACACTTCCAATTCGCTAGAATACTGGAATTGGGAATTAGAAAATTCATGGTTAGAATTTTCTGTATGCATACTTCCGTATAGTCCAACTGTTTGTCGCTGTGTATCCGCTTCGCCAATACTTTGCTCTGTTCGAATCAAAACTTCATGCTCATGGCCATCTCCAATCCGATACATACTTGGACACCAAAATCTTCTGCTCAAAGAATTGCCTAAAACAAATAAATAATATAAAAGGCTATATAACGTAATTATGCTAAAATTTGCAACTAAATCAGTTTTAAGTTAACTAAATGCTGTATATAAGCCCTACAAATTAAATTGCTGAAATATTCCTAGATACAATAATGAAGCGCTGTTGAGTCAAAATCAAGTGCAATTGGTTAGTAATCCTCATGTAATACAAAAAAATCTAATTTTGTAACATTTGGCGCCAATATACGTAAACATGAAATAGTGGTTAAAGCGCAGCTAACTACCTGTTATATATACCATGATTTGGTATAGGTGTATATCAGAATGAACTAATTTGCGACGAATATTTTAGTGAAACGTGCGCAACGTTCGTTTTTGGACAGAGTTTCGCGTAAAACTTTCTTCTTTACCTAATAAGTATACCATAATTCAATGGCGGCAAGCATTTTCTAATTGCTGATACGAAAATAAATCCCAGAAACAGTTTATCATAGAAATTATATAGAAATTGCTTTAATTTTGTAATTACTATTTAGTAATTAATTTATTTAGAAAATCGAGGTGATTCTTCAGGCTACTCATAATCAAATTATCGTGTCTCTTTCGTTGTCACACTTCCGAACAACTAGTAGTGCTTCCGAAATTCCAGTATCATAATTAGAAAATTCCATTATCGAGAAATTAAAATAATCAATAATTAATGAAAATTATTCAATAATTAATAACAATTGTTCAAAATATTTTCGAATAGATTATTAATTAAAAATACATACCGTAAATTTGTAAGTGCTTATTAAATTGGGCGACTAGCGTATTCTACAAATAACTTCTGTGAATGCTTACAAGGAATTTGTTAACTTTTTCCAAAAAAAATTTTTTCTTTGAAAAATCTGAAATATTTTAAAAATTAGATTTTTTTTGTAATTTTGAAATTTTTAAATATTCGAATTTTTTTTTGAGTCTTTGAAAAAATATTCGTTTTTTTTGTTATATAGACGTATTGATTATGTAGATGTATGTATATTTATATTTATATTATTTATTTTAGTCGTATGCATATTATTATTCATTATTTATCTATTAACTATTAACTAGTAACTATTAACTATTCACTTATCACTATTCACTATTTAACTATTCACTATCAAATTTAACTATTCAATATTAACTAACTATTTAACTATTAACTATTTACCTATTCACTAACTATTAACTATTTAACTATTAAACTTTTGCTTGTGTAAACGGTGTGAAAAAAATGATTTTACAAAAAAATTCGTATCATTCAAAATTTTCAAAAAATTCAAATTTTTGAAACTTTTCATCATTTTTAAATAAATGAAAATTTTGAAAAAAATCAAAAACTATCAAAAGTTCTAAAAAAGTTAATTTTTTACAAAACTTTCAGAGTAATTCTAAATTTTCTAATTTATTAAAATTTCTAAAAAAAACTTTTTTTTTTCAAAGATTCAAAAAAAATCGAACATTTAAAAAAATATTAAAAAAACAAAATTACAAAAAAATCTAATTTTTGAAACTTTTCAGACTTTTCAAAAAAAAGGAACAAATTCCTTGTAAACATATACAGAAGTTATTTACGCTAGTCGCCTAATTTAATAAGCACTTAAAAATTTATGCTATGTATTCATAATTAATAATCTATTTGAAAATATTTAGAACAATTGTTATTAATTATTCAATAATTTTCATTGATTATTGATTATTTTCATTTCCCGAATGTTTATTTACGGTGCAAACAGTTCCAGCAATTTGACTTAAGGCACGATGTCATGCACCACTAGTTAAATTTGTATTGTATTGACTCTAATACATGTATAATATTAATCTTAAAATATTTCACTTCGAGAGAGCAAAAAAAATTGTAGCCTTTTATTTTCAAACATAATACTCATACTCCATGTTGCTTTGTTTTCATTTAACTTTTTATCATTTACAATATCAAACAGTGCATATTGAACTTCTCCTAATTGATTTAGAACACTTTGAGAGCAAGAATCATTATTAGCATTGGATCAAAATATTACGTTTGAGGTATTTATTACTTCCTTTTTGTCCAAATTTAATCTCGCATTTCCAATATTAAAGTCTAAGAGTTCTTTAAGCAAAGATCTGCGCACTTTGTCCACCAAAGGGTTAAATATCTCTTATAATAAGTTACTGCAGTTAGAAAGAATATCCAAAAACAATAACGACTTAAATTTCATGATTTACTTTTTGAAATATAGAGAAATATTTAATACCTTATGTAAAATTGCTAAAATTATGTATAATGACAATATTATTACGAAATCTAGCAACAAATAAAAAGCAATGTGGTCTCTCATTAAATCTGAAGTGAATTTAAAATTGTGTTCCTCTGAAATAGTTTTTCTAACTATAAATAACGTCAAAATTTAAAATAAACAAAAATTTGCAAACTCTTTGAATAATTTTTTTGTTAATGAAGCATTTGATACGACATCAAACATTGTAAGTCGACCCAGTTATTTCTAGCGCTTTTTTTTCTAAAATCGCCGTAAATTCCAAATCATTATATCTTTATCCTATTTCTAACACAGAACTCTCTAACGTTATCTTATCTCTGAAAAACACCTACTCTTCTGGTCCTGATGGAATACCATCGGATATTCTTAAATCATTTTTTCCATTTTTTATTGATAAACTTTCATTATGTTTCAACAATGCTATCAGTGAAGGTTCATTTCCTAATCATTTCAAGCATTCAAAACTTAGAACTCTTCATAAAAAAGGTCCTACTGATATTATTAATAATCATAGGCTCATTTCTTTGTTGAACACTTTTAATAAAGTTTTTGAAAAAATATTGTATAACAGACCTAATAACTTCCTGTCTGCAAACAACATTCTTTTTAAAAATCAGCACAGTTTTCGTCAAAACCGCTCAACTTTTCATTCAATTCACACATTGGTTCATATTGTCATAAACTATTTTGAAGAAGGTTCTTATTGCGTGACAGTATTTTGTGATCTTTCTAAGGCTTTCGATAGTTTTTAGTTTTTAAAGATTTATTTATTTCATTTATATTAGATTATACATACATATTTCTATACAATTTATATAAACATGTATAACTATCCTAAGATATAAATACATAAACTTATATTTAATACTAACTAGTAAAAATTAAATTAACCTATAAATACATTTTTAATCATGGTAAAAATAATCACTAAAAACCATATTTACAATAATAATAACAAAAGAATACATATTACATATATGATTGGAAAATAGTCAAGACTAATAACATATGCTGTAGGAATAGTTTAAGAGTAATTTGATCTCTGTCATATTTTATACTTGATTATCTTTTTATTGATGATGGTAGCTTGTACTTATTGTACCAATATGTATTGTCATTCGATCCAATATTACATATATTAGGATTTAAGTTAAATAAACAATTAGTATAAAATCTTTCAGAGATAATTGTTATAAAATCTCTCACTAATGGTACATTAGTGGAATCATGTAAGAATTTTGTGCTAATATAATGCATATTTATTGGATTCCTTGCTTGACCTATAACAAATCTCAATGAAACATTTTGTACTGACTGTAGTTTCTTAATATTATGTTTGTTTGTCATACACCAAATAGGGGAAGCATACATCATTGCGGATCTAATTATTGCCATATAAATTCTTTTTTTATTTTCAATATTAATAGAACTGTTATAATTTAGCAATGGGTATAATATGTATATTAAATTTTTTAATTTAATTATTTTATTACTAATGTGTTCATTGAAATTAAGTTTCCTGTCTAAGATGACACCCAAATATTTAACAGAACTACTCCATGGTATGATATTATTATTAAGATGCAAGGTTATATTGGGTGTAGGATTAATTCTTCTTCTGTTTTGTCAATATTTATTTTTATTTTCCATTTATTTGTGTATTTTATAATTTGGTTCAAATGACTTTGTAGTTTCTTAATGATTGCTTTATCTGATTTGCCCGAAGTGAAAATTACAGTATCATCCGCATACATTAATAATTGCGTGTTGATTTTTGTAGGCATATCATATGTATAAATGGAAAATAAAATCGGTCCTAAAATACTACCTTGAGGCACACCTGCTGTAATGGCTCTACATGTAGATTTACAATTGTATATACTAACATAAAATTTTCTATTAATTAAATAATTTCTAATTAGACAAACCAAATATTTGGGAAAATTTAGAGCATTCATTTTATAAATTAGTCCATCAAACCAAACTGTATCAAATGCCTTTTCTATATCTAGAAGAACTAAGGCACTATTTCTTCTTCTGTTAAAATTAAGGATGGTTTGTTCTGTTAGAATGGATAAAGGATGGAGGGTGGAATGATTTTTTCTGAATCCGAACTGATTATTTGGTATCACATTATTATTTGTTAAAAATTCATCAATTCTATTGCATATAACTTTTTCAAGTATTTTAGTCAAAAGGTTTAATAAACTGATAGGCCTGTAACTAGTGGGGAGATCGCTGTCTTCATTCGGTTTTTTAATAGGTATAGTTTTAGAAATTTTCCAAATGGGTGGAAAATAACCATGTTTTAAAATGCTGTTAATGATTTTAGTAATTAGAATAATAGGTTTTCTGCTAAGATTTTTTAATATAATATTCGATATTCCATCTGGACCTGGGGTGCTTCTTGATTTTCTACTGTTTATAATAGTTTTTATTTCTTTAGGAGTAGTGAATTTAATATTTGAGATTATATTACTGGAAGTTGGGAATATCGAATTGATTGTTCTATGGACGTGATTACTAAAGTAAGCATTCCCTAAATTATCATTTTGCTTGTGTGTTTTTTCAAAAATATCAGCTAATAAATTAGCTTTTTCTTTATTATCAGATACATATAAAAAATTTAATTTTAGATTAGGGATATTTTCACGTTTCTTTGTGAATTTTTTAGCATAAAACCACATATTATTGTGATTTAAATTTGATTTCCTTAGTTTATCACTCCAAAT